TAAATATTTATGAACTTAAATCGCTGATATAAATTGATGAATACACTTTATACTTACTCCCTAATAATTAAAAATTGTATAAAAGATCTCAATTTTAAATAAAGAAATTACAAAATAAAAAAGTTAAAGATTGACTTACTTATTAATCCATTCCTCAAATTTATTTTCATCCTTCTCCACGCCAATTCCAAAGACGCAACCAGGGCGGCCCCCAAAAGTTCGGGTCGAAATTATCGACCCAAATTTCCGAGGCTGTCTTTTTTCCATTGACAGATGTAATCAGATCAAAACGATCGCAAGATTTTTGTCGTCAATTTACCCGGGATGCTGCGGCAGCCTCTGAAAATTGGGTCGATAATTTCGACCCGAACTTTTGGGGGCCGCCCTGGTTGCGTCAATTCCAAACCAGTAACAAATAGCAGTTTCCGGATTCCCATAGAATTACCAGCTTCAGCAGACTTCAGATAATATGTAAACGCTTTATGCTTATCGATTTCGACGCCAATACCTAAATAATAACAATAGGCAACTTGATAGATTCCGTTAGAATTATTCATTTCCGCCGATTTTTGATAATGTGTGAATGCTTTATTTTCATCCTTTTCAATACCAATTCCATATCCATAACAATAACCAAGAATATTAATTCCTTCAGTATGCCCCATATCAGCAGATTCTTTGAAATGAGTGAATGCTTTATATTCATCCTTTTTAACGTTAATTCCGTGAAGATAAAAATAACCTAGTTTTAAATAAACATTATCATTATGCATACTTACCAAAATTAAAAATAATCAAGGTCTATTTAGTTTATGTTGCATAAACATAATTCAAAAAATAAATATTATTCTCACTTCCTATTAATTTAAACGTATATATAATTAATTGGAGAATATAAATACATTTGAAAGCAAAATACTCTATATTTACTTTTTACTAATTTCTGTAAAAATTTTTGATGCCAATTCGTCGTTTATTTCAATTTTCAGTAATTTATTCACATCATTAAGCGATTCTTCATATTTTCCAATTTGATAATAGGATTCTCCTCGAAATCTTAGGGCAAATGTGCTGCTTGGTTCAATATCAATCAATTTTGTTAGATCAATAATTGCATCTCCATAGATTCCCATATTGAAATTAAATTTTCCTCTAAATTTAAGAGCAGTGTTATGATTGATTTTCAGTGAGTTTTCTAAATCTTCAATTGTATATATATTCGTTGTATTAATGCACATATTAAAAAATTCGATCCATTTTGTTTTCAATAATTCATCATCTATATCATCACTAGTCATCTCTATTTACAAAGGATTAAATTATTAAATTACAAATCAATGAAAACATACACTTACGAATATTCAGCATTTACTTGCATATTTAAATTTTTTACCACCGAAATTTACTTCTATGGATCCACCTCACCTTGCGACTTAAATCCAACACAAGGATACAAGATGCCTTTTAAATTTCGGAATGTAATTCCTCCTTAAAATTATGGTTTAAAATTTAAATTAATGTGTTATGCGGGTATAAAACAACAAATCTATAAAGTTTTGGAATATCCACCTAGGTTTATGCCATTTTTAGTATAGAATACAGTAGTATTTTTAAAATTTAAACAACATCCAATAGTATCGCCAGTAGAAAATGACGGTCCATAAGAATTGCCTGTTCCTGAGCAGCAAAAGGATTGGCCATCATCTCCGTGATAACCCCAGGAACCATTATCCCATCCTATGAAAAGTATTATGAATGAATATATTAAATATACAAAAAAAGAAAATGACAATAAGTTTTATTACCAGGCATACTATTTAAATTAACCGTCTTTTCGCAAAATCCAATTCCAATACATCTTATGAATAGAATATAAAGAATTATAAGCAAAAATTAAACGATATTATTTTTAATTTATAATAAAATATTAAACATACTTGTTTTTTTCTTCATCTATTATATCAACTTCAAAATAAAAGAGGTTGCATTGCGGTGGAATTGGATGATTTGCCCGTACTGCACCGACATCATTATCATTTTCACCCAAACCTATGTTAAATTGTATTAATTCAATTAATTCAATAATGTTAAATCATTTGCCTTATATAAATAATCTCACTAGCGACGAGCAAATACACATAGTTATGCGAAAATTTATAGATAATTTGAGTAAGCCTGCCTGCTGTAACTTAATGTAGATAAACATTTCATGCGCATCGAAAAAAATCAATTTGCCAATCGCTAAGACACACCTTCATAATTTATTAGACTAGTAACACCAGTCTAAAAAATTTCGCAGATCACGTGATCATATGATACAAATTTAACGATTAATTATT